CTCAAATTACAGTCAGTTCATGCAAGTATTTGGATGAACTCATCAACTCTTTTTCTGTTTCCTTCTCCACCAATTCTTATGTTTTTCATATTAATTCTTATTAAGTTGGAACACTACTTATGATTAGTGGAGCCACAAGAATCAGGCTGATAATTTTGATGTTTGTTGATCAGATAGAAAATATTTCTACTGTGTAAAATGAAAGCCAGAAAACAATGCATGGCTTGTTCATTTAGTAAAAGATGATATAGTACTGCTAACATCACTTCTACTAACATAAATCATTTGTAGATTTCTCAAAGAAGCAGTGATTTCACATTGAATTCCTAGTGAGGTGATTCCTCAAGCAGAACAATTCATCTCCAGCTTAAGATTCCACTAGGAGCAGGGATGTGAACTTGAATCTTCTGCACATTTCAAATCCTTGTGGGGTAATTCTCAAGCACAAGCTTTCATTTCCAGGTTCAGATATCAGAAACAAGATGAATCCCTGAAATCCACACTTTGCTTAGCTCCATTGAGTTTGCTCACCAAGAAACATGTAGAGAATTAAGAGGCCTTGCAATGACCCAAATCAATCAACCCCCACTACCTAATTCTGATGTGCTAACCCACAGCACATCTGAGTCCAGAAGTCTAAGCCATAGATTTCATGTTTCTGCAATGACTTCCTTGTCAGGGTTTCAACAGTTCAAGAATCAGGTAATTTGCATGCTTCCTCTTGTGAAAACAATCATCCTTCCTCTATATATATTGCTTGATTTCTTGAATTAACAGTTTCGGATCAGAGCCGATCACCTGAGATCTCTAACTACAGCATCACCAAGCTGTTCTTGAGGTAAGCATGATTACCTACTTGATTCTTCATCAATCCATTTGAAAGGTAGTCTTGACCATGTTTTGGATTAGGAAGGTAAAAAGACAGTGGTCAACGATGAAAAGATGGATAGTAGCATAATAAGTATCATCTTGTCTCTTTCTCTGCTTCAGTCACAATGTTCTTATTTCCTGCATTAACAATGAAATGTCACCAGTAAATTGACAGTAGAATGATAGATATCACATCATACGTTGCTCACAAAAGCAACCAGTCCATGATGTTCACGTAGAAAATTCCAGCTTCATTATTGAGCATTTGGGTAAGCTGAAAGAGAAGAAGGGTTTCATTTCCTGCATGGATTTGGGATCCTGAGGAATAGTCATCCTGTTGGTAGTCCATCACATGCATTCATTAATAATGAGCCAGTGGCCCAAAAGAGGAATCTGGACTGTAGTGATCGAATTACCTCAATGAGCAACATGTCCTTGCAACTTGGGAGATGATTGCTGGTGTTTTAGGCGGAGGCGATACATGTTTGTTAGAATGTCACTATGGATGGTGTAGCATCTGCTGCTCCACACACGCACCCCTGCAACACTTGCTTGGGTGCTTTTCCAGCCTCGCACAGAAGAGTGATCTCTTTCGAAGCCGGTGGTTGACATCGCATAACTCCATGATGTATCAGCACCTAAGAGGATGATTCCCCCAACAGGAGCACCAGCAAGGCAGCTTCACGGTAACCATCAAGGATCTCCGGGATGAGAAGAAGACACTCCACCAAGTGCCGACCCCAAGAATGATTATAGAAAGACCGCTAACATCTCTTTCCCTCCACGGAGAACCAAGACGGACAATCTGGATTTAACACTAGCAACTCGAAGCTGATCAGTCTTTACTATGATCAAAGGCAGGCAACCTAAGAACAGTCATTTCAGAATATCCCAAGGAAACTTCCATCTCGCTTGCCGTGTCAGTGATGCCAACATATGAACAGAGCCCCAAACGAACATTAATATCGCGTTCTGCCAGTGTCCGTCTTGCCCAGCTGGAACGGCAAGTGAGCAGAGTGGAGACGGCCCATGGTGGTGGTGTCTTCCCCAACCTGTCTCGTTCAGCCATTGCTGCCGGTAAGGCAGCAATGAATGCTTGCACTGGAAATGTGATCATTGATGTGTTTAGATTAAGATGACTTTTCGGTTGTCAGTGATATATTTGATGTTTGCATGAAGGGACGATTCACCGGACATGGTGAACGCTGACATGCAATGATGATGATGACAATCCGGGAATGGTAGAAACAGCTTGAGAGGGAGATGCATGGCTACGTAACACGGGGAAGAGACGTCAGGCACTGTGGGGGCAACAGAGACTTAAGGCCACACCAAGAGATCACCTTTTTTCTTTTCTTGCATTGACTTTGAATTTTATACTTCTATGAGGAAAGAGAAAAGATATATTGATGAGAAAATAATCTCATTTTAAGTGTCCTTTAAGACTCCCATGCCAACTAACCAACGATAATAACTTATTGGGTCCCTTGAAAGCTTCCCCAAACCCACCACAAGAACAGTAGCATGTGGGATGAGTAATCAATATTATGAGATATGAGTCAATCTTCCTTATGGCCAATAAAAGTAACTCCATAGTGAAAGGATAGGAAACAATTTGATGAATCTTTCACTTTCTTAGTCTTAATCTATCACCTTCGTCCATTGACTGCATGTCAAAGTCAGTGAGACTTGTGAGTGACTACATTACACCTTTCTCTTCCAGCACAACGTTATATGGTTGTACCATCCTATGAGTTCCCCTCCCTCTCCACTCCTCAGCATCTCATCTGGCGTTCTCATACACAAACTCATCATCTCTCTCTGAAGTGTTACCTGTTGGAATCATGAGCATGTATGAGAGAGCAATCTCGGGTGATGGCCGACACAAGAGAAAGGTCATTGCATGGGTGCTTGCAGTCTCTCTAGCAGTAGCTTTATCTGCTGCGTTCTCTTTACGGACTACGAAGCATGCATCGCATGAGCTCAAGCCCTTAGATACTGTCTCCAGAGCCGCTGCCACCACCACTGAGAGTGGTGTTGTCTCTGCCTGCATGTCCACCCGCTACCCGGACGCGTGCGAGGCGGCGCTCGCCTCCCTGGCGACGAGAGCAGGCGCGAAAGGACCCAAGGAGATGTTCCACGTCTCCGTGGAGTTCGCGAAGAGCAGGGCCCTGTTGGCCCGCGACATGGCCTACAACCTGACGCTGCCGTCGGCGCAAACGTCGACCTCGCGGTCGCCGTCCAGCGTCCACGACTGCCTTGAGCTTCTCGACATCACCTTGGACCAGCTCAACGATGTGCTGGAAGCGAAGAAGGGCGGGAGCTCGCACGACGCCCGGACGTGGCTCAGCGCGGCGCTGACGAACCAGGCGACGTGCTCGGAGAGCCTCCAGGCCGTCAAGGCCGAAGGCGGCGATTCCTTGAGCGCCCGTGTGCGGAGCTTGTCGCAGCACATCAGCAACTCGCTGGCGCTGCAGGGGAAGGTCCAGGACGATGATGGCGTAGGTGGCGGCCGGAAGTTGTTATCCGACGGTTTTCCGGCGTGGTTGTCGGCCGCAGACCGGAGACTTCTGGAGGCGTCTCCCGATGAGATCCGAGCCAACGCGGTTGTGGCCAAGGACGGCAGCGGCACGCACACGACCATCAACGAGGCCATCACCTTCGTGTCCTTGGCCTCCTCCGGCGGCGGCGGCAGGAAGGTGATATATGTGAAAGCTGGGACGTACGACGAGTACATCAACGTCCCGACAAAGCAGAAGAACGTCATGTTGATGGGAGACGGAAAGGGCAAGTCGGTCATTGTCGGCAGCAGGAACGTCAACGACGGGTGGACGACGTACAAGTCCGCCACCGTAGGTACGCACGCACCTCCTTACCCTTGCGTTCTGTGACTGCAAGCGTTGAGTTCGAGCTTGACACAACAAGAGAGTGTCAACGTTTCAGCTGCAATGGGGGCGGGCTTCATCGCCAAAGGCTTAACCATCATCAACAACTCCGGGCCAAGCAAGAACCAGGCGGTGGCCCTCCGGGTCGGCGCCGACAAGTCGGTGGTGTACCAGTGCTCCATCCAGGGCTACCAAGACACCCTCTACACCCACTCCAACCGCCAATTCTACACCGAGACCGATATCTACGGCACCATCGACTTCATCTTCGGCAACTCCGCAGTGGTGCTGCAGAACTGCTACATCCAGCCGCGGAAGCCGGGCGGGACGCAGAAGAACTCGGTGACGGCACAGGGCCGGACCGACCCGAACCAGAACACCGGCATATCGATCCAGAAGTGCCGGATCCAGGGCTCTTCAGACTTGGGGAGCAGCACGCCCACGTATCTGGGTCGGCCATGGCAGAAGTACTCGAGGACGGTGGTGATGCAGAGCTACTTGGATGGTTCCATCGACGCTGCCGGGTGGGATAAATGGTCGGGGAGCTTCGCGTTGTCGACGCTGTACTACGGGGAGTACGAGAACACGGGCCCGGGTTCGTCGACGTCGGGCCGGGTCCGTTGGGCCGGAGTGCACCCGGCGCTCTCCTCCGGTGAGGCATCCAAGTTCACGGTGTCAGAGTTCATTGTCGGAGACAATTGGTTGCCTGACACCGGTGTTACCTACACTGCAGGACTTTAATGTGGACCCTTAATAGGCTTTACCTGAGTGTATTTGGGCCTGAAGAAAAGCCCTTTGTGACTCTCTTATAGGTCATATAACATTGATCATTGGTATGTTTGTGTTGACTATGATCTTCATATTCCATAAAATATATAATTAGAAATTACATATTATTTACTATTTCAATAATAAAAATTATAAAAAAAAGTATACCACTAATTTAATGAATTAACAATGTTGGCATGGGGAGTTTATAGGATTATTTAATAAACCTATTATTGTATGGTGTATGCCCAAAAGATGAGAAATGTTTTTAGTATATGAATATACAAATACTAGTCCACTTTTCTTTATCTAAAGGAATCAAAGGAGGGCTACCAATAATTTATGTTATCCTGTTGTTGTTGATTGAGAGATGCAATCCATCATTATTTTGAGTGGGGAGAACAGGTCATTTCTCATGCATCATTATTTCAGAACATAAACATTCAGTTCGTTGACTTTCATATAACATTAGAGATCGAGCATAATGATCTAAAAATTCACGTTAAAGGAATCCAAATCGGGGTTAATGATAAGTTCACTCGTTTGGACATAGAAATTTTGTACACAGAAACCAGCTTTGTATCCGCAGCATGAACAGCCTTTTTGTAGTTCATGACATGTTTACAGTGTCAAATCAAATCATAAGCAGCAGTCTTCATGCGAGATAAATCTCCAACTCGTCGTCATCATCATCGTCCTCAAGCTTCTACCACTGCTCGCGAACAATCTGACAGAAGTAAGGGTCTTCTTTGGCATAGCGAGGCTTCACTGGTTGAAGGAAGCTTGGGATCTGCACTTCTTTCTGCCTGTGGAAAGTTAGACAGAAGAATCAAGAATCTGATTCCTGAAACCGCGATACTAATAAGCCTATCTTCGGATCTACCTTTCTTGGTGTTCTTCCTCCTGCGGCGGTCTACTGTATCGTGGTCCTTCATCATATCCCTCGCAGATTACTTCTCCCTTTGCATCTTTATAGCAGATTATTCCCATCGCCTTATCTTCATAAATCTAATAATAGAGACAAGTATTATACCCTCCAGAGCAATAATTCCATGATCATGAAGGGAGAGAGAAGAGAAGAGATCATACCTTGATATGCATGCAGGATCTGATTAAAGGAATTGATGCTTTGGGTGTGATTTGCTTGTTGGGAAGCATGGAAGCTCTCATGACTGCCTTCTTGGTCGGATCTCTTGGAATGATAATGTTAGGGGTTGAGTATCTCAGTGCCATAGAGATTGATCCTGAAGAGAGAGGAGGAGGAGGAGTTGTTAGTTGGAACTTGCTACATACATACCATTGAACATTGAACATCGAATGGAAACCTAATGCAATCCCCATTAACCATAAAGTCAATGCACTCTCTAACTCTCTGTTGGAGATGTGTCCTACATATTTAAGCTTTCCTTCAAAGCATGACACATGTAGTTATGTCACACTGTTAAAGATGAACTGACACAAACTAACAAAACCAAACCACATCAACTTCTCCATCTCATCAACATATCCTTTGTCTCTCCCTCTCTTGATTGATTACTCTTGAAAGAAGCAAGCATGGATGACACCAAAGTCCACCATTGTCATGTACATTTGCTTTCTCTCATTTTCCTCAAGTACATGATTGGTTGGATGGTCTATTCTGTCACCTCTTGCTGTTGTTAATATTATCCTCATCTAGTTGTATTCCAATCCACCTTGGCCTAATCTAAACTATGCCACAGTGGAATCACAAGCATGCACATGCAACATGATATCAGCACCTTGGCTTCTTGTAGGAAGATGTTGATGGGTTGTTGAGTCCACAAATGGAATCCATAAAACAATTTAAATTCTTGGTGTGGAACAAAAGCTACCTTGTGATGTTATGTTCTTAGTTTAGCACAAGCAATTGGTGGAACTCCACAGTGTCTTCATTGCTTGCAGGTGGAGAAAGTTAATCCTGCAAGTTGCTTAAACAATATAGCAGGAAGTAAAGAATGATCTCTTCTTGTTGCCTGGTGACTCACTCACCTTCAAATAATCTATCAAGAGAGAACAAGAAACAAAGCTACTTTTAACTCCCATATGAAAACAGGCTGATCGTTTGCCTGCTTTAAGAAAACAAAAAAGTCTCATAACTTAGTCCACTTGGAATCAGAACATAGAAACAAAAATAAAAAAGAAAATTTGATGAAGAATTCCTATTTCACGAAGGAGAAAATGAAAGAAAAATTAACGGGCGATCATGTTTTACAGTGTTTTGTGGGGTTTTATCCTTAAAAACACTGTAAAGCTAGTTTAAAAGCACTGTATAGTTCTGGAGAAACTGTATATTGATGTCACTTTGTTTCAAAATATTCAAAAAAATACTGTTTTGTTTCAAAATATTAAATCTTTACAGGTTGCAAGTTAAATTACTAAAATGAAACCTTTACAATGTCTTTATGTTAATGTTACAGTATTTTCTAAATACAAATAAAAACACCATAAAAACTTCTTTAAAACACTATAATGGTATTTTTAATATTTTTTAGAATTTATGATGTAGATAATATCCTAGTGCATATGTGACCTGTACTGGAATTAAAGGTTTTATGATATTTTTATATTATCTTTATAGTCATCTAAATATCCAATGAAAACACCGTAAAGACTTTGAAAAAAAATATTATAATGATATCTTTTGATCGATGATACAAATAATATTATAGAGTAATTATGTATATGGTATGTATTGTAGCCACTCGGACTAGTCTATCGTATTATCATAAATCAATCTTTGTATAAGGTGTTCGATGTATGTAATATTTGTATATGTCTATATCTTTTCGTTTTATTCATACTTTGTAAGTATATAGAGGGCTTACAGTAGGCTTGATAATCTCATTTTGATTAACTTTTATGATCTTTTGATCCTATAAACGTAAGTTATGTGTAGTCATTATAGAGATCAAACTACCTAAAAATAGACCATCCAACTAGGTATCTTGAGGTTTTTTTAGCATTACAAAATGGTACGGAGTGCCAACTAATATAAGACCATGGAGTTACCTGGGTGATATATGATTAGATAAGCCTTTGAGGTATTACTTAGGGTTAATTCACTATCTTATTTCACAGCAATATCATTTGAGTACTTACGGGGACTTATGATCACGACAGACCACCTTGGATCCTTTGTCATATGATTGTTCAAAATTTATAAAGTCTATATTTGTAATTTATATTACCTATCAAGTGTTGAGTATTGAGTCAAAAATATAATATTTTTAATTATCCTTATAATTTTTTGATATAATTAAAAATATATCATTAAAAATTAGATCGATATAGACATTGATATGTAATTTCTTTACGACTATATAATATTTTTGAACTAATCTTACAGTATTTTTTCATGAATAAAAACCTATATCATAGAAAATGGGTAAAAAAACATATCAATTTTTGGAGAGGTATCTTTGAAATATTTAAAATAGGGGTGACTAATTGAAAAAAAATAAAAATAAGAGGTATTTTTCAAGAAAATCGCCCAAAATTAATGATAACTCGACAAAGAAATAGCAGATCTCTTCAACACAAAAATGAAAGGAAACAATTTTTTTTTTTTGAGAAGTGGAAACAATATTTTGTTGAGAAATATTAAGAGAAAACAATTAGATCAATTTTATTCATGGAATAAAGACTACTTGTTTGCTTTGACTTTTGTGATTCATGCATGATTGAGTTGTATTCGCTGCATATTAACAGAGGTACTCAACCACTCCCATTATTGAACTTAGATTGCCCCAAGTTGTTACTCAACAATTCAAGTTGGAATACTAATTAGAGACTCATATGACCCAAACAAAACCAAGTGGCAAAAAGGCGTGCGTTGTGATTCCCGCGAACGTGATTGATGTGTGCGCGGTGTGAGTCCGTCACACGTAATCTCTTTGGTGACTACACGAATCCAATCATTTGTCATTCAAATTTATTGATTTCGATATCCTGTCGGGGTCGGATTACAATTCACGTTAGGATTATGTGACCTGAGAACGTGGGAGTCTGCAATAGGCTGGTAGACATGGGGCCCGCAAGTGGAACCCTGTAGCGTGAGTCCATGTTTTAACAGCCCAACAACTGACACAGTCACCAAAGCCCAAATAAGTGAAGGGTCCTGTCACCGCTGGTCAACACAAGACAAACGCCACCTCGGCCGCTCGATAGAACGCCTCCTCCTCTTCCACCTCAGTCTTCCGCCCGTTCTAGGGTTTACGCGCGCCGCATTGCCGCTAGGGCTTCGGACGAGCTCCCAGGAGATGCTCCTCACTAGGTGGGTCCTTGTTCGATTTGGTTCGATGGTTGAAACACGTGGATTTTGTGGTTGGTGGAAGGACGGAGTATGACCGAGGCGTCAAGACTTTTCTCCGCTGAGGGAAGGTTGTCTCAGGTGGAATGCGCCATCAAGGTAAGATCTTTCTTCAATCTTACCTGAAAGTTTTGCTAAATACGTCCGTAGGAAGAAAAGGTCCATCTTTTAGGGGTTCGGAATGCTTCAATTTTTCAGTTGGGGTCGACTGCGATCGCACTGAAGACGAAAGAGTGCGTCGTGCTCGCAGTTCAGTAGCGCATCACTTCAGCTCTGTTGGCACGTTTTCACCTTTTCCTGTTGGTCTAACTAAAAGAATTGGAAGTCTCAAACAGGGACTCTTCTTCATTCTGAAAGTTCATATTACGTATGTTGCAAGCTAAGTTTGAACTCTTTGGTCTGGATCGGGATGCATCAACGAATTACCTATAAAAATGTAGAATCCTTTGAAGAATAAGGAATGATAAAGCATTGTATGCCTGTGACATTTATGTGCCTATAAATCTGGTTTTGTGTGACTATATGTTCATGTGCTAAGTGAATCCATATTTGCCAATGGCTGAGTGATAAAAGGTTGTCATGTGACACCTAAATCTTCACTCTACTGATGCTTGAGTCCCAGTGGTAAAAACAGACGGTGCATTGAGCTCCAATAATAGTTAGATGACACCTCACAATGAATGAAACTATTGCAGCTAGGCTGCCATAGGATTAGTGGCATTGGTCACATTTACTTAAGTTGTGCTATTCAAGAAAAATATGAGGCTGTGCAAGTTCACCTATTGTTAGCAAGGTGCAATCAGCTTTTGTTAAAAGCATTTTCCTTATGATCTCTCGCAAATTTGATGATTGGGGAAATCTTTATCAGATACGTTTTTCTTGTATCCTGGATGTCATTTAGAGAGGCCATATAACAACCAGTCAATTGGAGGTTGAGGGTGGAATTATCTGTGTCCTGCTGGTTGAGTTTTAGTAGAATTTGTGCTAGTCAAATACTTTCAGTGAGCTGCTTGATGAATGTGGTCCAATAGGAAGTGTCCTGTATCCAGATTGGGTTCTATGTGTTCCTTACTGTTATAAAATTAAAATTTGAAGCTTGTATGTAATCTTTGTATGTCTCTGTTCCAAGCTATTCGACTTTGTTTCACTACCTATTGCATTACAGAAACCAAGCAGTCTAGAAAAGGTTATGGAGATTGACGAGCACATAAGATGTGCTGAGTGGTTTGATAGTGGATGCCTGCACTCTTGTTGAGCATGCACGTGTTGAAACCCAAGTGTTGTTCACATAACACTTTTTTGATAATAAAGTAGTTCATGTCTTAACTGCTCTTTACGAGAAGTAACTAGTTGGCCGAATTTGTTTAGTTTAGGGATATCAACCGCTACTCTCCGAGTTACTATTAGGCTTTGCACAAACAGCAAATACAATTAAAATTTTAAAATATATAAATACTGTTGAATTCAAACTTAACCTTATTTGAGACTCTGGTCTATTCCACTGTTCAATATTTGAGACAAGACCCTAATAGTTTTGAATTGCATAATCAAATAGTGTAAGCATACTGGTAGTATGTATATGTCGACAGTTTCTTTTCAAGTATAAGATGATTATGTATGCAAAAGTTCTTCAATCATGTTTTAGAGATTGCAGCGCATGTCATGAATGTCTTTTCATCAAAAAATGGCATCCATGAATCCACGGTTGTGTTAAATAAAACTGCATTATGTAATTGGGAACCATTACACAGTTGGAAAGGATTCGTTGGTCAACCTTGTTACTGTGAAGGTGCTTCCCATTAATTCTGTCAATGAGAATGCAGTGTGTATGATTTTTTTTTTAATGCAATGAATCTGTGTTTTCATATATGAATAAATCAGTATTCGAGTCAATTACCACAATTTGCATTCCTACGTCTTCTGCTTGACCATTCACCACTTAAAACTTTGTTGGTAAATGAAGTTGTTACCTTTATCTATAGCATCATGCTCCTCCTTTTTTTCTTTTTGCTTAAATAAGTAGCGCATGCAGATATTTCACTGATCCATCTGGCACATTTTTGGCAATGCAATGCAAAAGCTATAGGTTCTGGTTCTGAAGGAGCGGATAGTTGTTTGCAAGAGCAATATAACAAGGTAAGATTGTATGGTTATACTGCATGTCTTGGGGAATAAGGCCTAAATCAAGTCCACATAACTCAAATTTTTTATTACTAATGGGCGATATTACAAATTTTTGATACAGGACCTAACTCTTCAACTAGCTGAAACGACAGCTCTTTCCATACTGAAGCAAGTGATGGAAGAAAAAGTATGTAACAGAATAAATTTGCCTTTCTCTTTTGGCTGACTAAAATAATGCTGAAATAAGATTTATGCTGATTGTTCAGGTAACACCAAACAATGTTGATGTTGTGAAGGTGGCTCATTTTTATATTATTCTCCTTCCGAGGTGGAAGTTGTCATCAATCGGCTCAGATACCTGACTTGATTCCCTTGTATTCCTTCATAGAAGGCATTATCTTAGACAAACATTTATTGTCTTCTGGTTATTGTTTCGTTTACACTGCATTTTCTTCTGCTTTGGCCTACCGGATGTACTTATTTTTTCGTTGCCTTTATCCTTCACAATTAATCATATTAGATGTTTATGTACACTAGAAATTTAAATCTTCCTCATATGATCTGTTGTTTGTGGTCTAGGTAATATAATTGGATCTCTGATGAATTGGATTGTGCAACTACCTCAACAAATAGCCTTCCCATTGGTTGGGGCATTGTCGACTGGAATAGTTTGTATGGTAGCTTTGAGATGATCCAGCAATTCATGGAATTGCTGAAAAAGGAAGAAAAAGGTAAGTTTATTTTGAGCTTACTATCATCAATATAGATTTAAATATTTTGGGTCACTAAATCCTGATAATATATATTTATTATATCTGCATAATTTTCTGACAATATCGATATCTTCTCTACAGGAAGCATCCAAGCAATCAACATGTTAAGCTTGTTCTAGGTGATACCTTCCTAAATGCCATGATACATCTTCAACCCAATGCCTCTCCATTTTCTCTTCCCCTTTCTCCTTTTCTAGAGATCGTTTCTTTTCCATGCTGAGAACAACATCTCCAAAAGTGATACATTGCATTTGGATCAAATGCCTTCTCTCTCAGAATCAAAGTGCATTCAACAAAGGTTACATTCAAATCACTGTACATGGAAGAAAAATACCTGGGTTCTTATCTTCTCATATGGGTCAAACCCATGGTTGAATTCATTGTACTTGCAACGACAGGTTTGTAGTGGTCAAAAAGATCTTGTGCTCATATTCTTGAATTGTATTTGAGATGGCAATTTCAATTCGAACTGTTGTGCACTACTCATGTTAGGGTCATGCATCCAAGGTTGACTTCACTGTAGGATGGCAATTTCAATTTTACCTGCACTACTCTCGACCCGGTCCGATCTAACCAGGTTTGATCAATTACTTCCAGTAGTAATTTGTTTTCTATCTTGTAAATATAACATATTTAATACTTAATGCTTATAATATTCTATATATTTCAAAAGGAGAAAAATACATATGTATCGGTTTTTTTTTTTTTTTGGATTGATGAGGATATAATATCAATAAATATGATGTAGGGAGAGTGTAAAATGTTGAATTGGTGTGGCAAGGAATTCGACTTGCTCTCATTGATAGTTTGGGAAGGTTGGTTGGAGATGGGGCAAAGGATGCTACAATAAAGTTTGATCGATGTATCCCATGAACTAATTCTCGATTAAGTGTGGTTCAAATCTTATCTTTTTGTTATTATAAAAATTATTTAATTTTTAAAGGACATTTGAATCATTTTCATTGTAAGGTTGAAATAAAGTGTTGCTATTTTTATGATATTATCATATTTTTTATATTTTTGATTGAATATATAATTATATTTTATTTTTGATATGAGAATGATGAGGCATCTTAGGGTAAAGGGTCGATACTTTAATGTCACATGGTTGATATCTCGATGTTAAATGTTTGACTTAACACCATATGGTCGACACATCGATATTAAGTAGTCAATATCTTAGCACTATGTGGTAGATATTTCAACATCATATGATTCATATATCATCATTATATGCTCAGCACCTAAGTATGAGGTTAAGCAAGTTGAATATTATCACATCCCGAGTTCAATACACCACGAAACATATCACGTTTTTTATAACTTGTGCAAAGGGAAACGTGCTTGTTATAAAACGTTTTTTTCGACTAATAAATTCTTCATTATTGACTTAAGTTTTGGATGGATGAAATTGTCCTAATATAATTTTATAAGTCTCGAGATAACTGAGTGAACGAGGATAAATCAATCAATGACATCACGATATAAAGATGAAATGAAAAGAAACTGGATAGTTCCAAATTAATATCGAATTCCGACAATCTCTTTAACTATTTTTAAAAATATTAAATATATGATCTAATGATAAAATTATCTAGACTTAGATTGATTAGATTTCTAATAACTATGCTATCAAGAGGCAATGTATCAGTAAATTTGGAGCTCTCTCAATCAGATCTTCTCATCCTCTGAGTTCATTGTTTGTAGCAGAAACTTGAAAGTAAAATATCATTCAGAACAAGAAAACTGAAAAAAATTTCAGCAGGAGGGAATGCCTCATGTTCTGGAGGAAACAACCCATGCATTGTCCAAAGAGAGTAGATAATAGAGACATCAGAGACCCACTTGCATGAGGCTGAGACCATGAGCACAATGCACTTGGAGAGAGAAAAAAAACAACCACAAGAGCTCACAGAGAAATGGGTCTTGTAAGGATTGGAAGAGCAGTGGGAATCAGTAGGCCAACCAAAGACCTGTCCAATTAGCTTCTGAGACACCATTACCTACTTGCACTTGCAATTTATTGTGTGAGCTGATCAATCATCATCCTCATCACTGAGGGGCAGCTTCCTTCAATTAATTGACAGTGTTGCTGCTGCTGCAGTCTCAGCTCAGGGGCACCCAATACCAACATGGCTCCTCTATCTCTCTCTATTCTTTTCCTTACACCTAACATCTCTCTTTACTTCACTCACAGGCATGTTCTCATGGGTAGGTTTGTTAAAAAGGAGAGAGAGAGAGAGAGAGGTTGTGGTGTCTAATGCTTCCAACTTGGAGAAACTTTAAACAAGCACTCTTCAATTTGCAAATATACATATATATATATATAATATTTATTATATGCCAAGTAAAGGAGAGGTCAATTAACTTTATATTTTAATAAAAATATCCTTAGAGATGGGATGGGGATGGGGATGGGTGGTTTTCACTCCAACTTTAGCTTGTGTGAGAAAAGATGTTGACATGGTGATGAGAAGATGGTGTAAGGTTTGGTTTATGATGATTCCACCATCAATTTGCATCATGTGCTTGTCTTTTCTGGGAGTCCTATTTTACTCTTTTCACCTCACCTGCTGAAGATTTTTTTAAGATATTTCAAACATATTTATCTTATTAGATTTTTAATATAGATGCTGAAGATGAAATTTGATTAACAACAAACTTACCATCATCAATAAAATTTTTTACAAGCTAACCTATCTGATATTTTTATTATATTATATTATATATATATATATATATATATATCTTTCAATCATCATAAGTAAATTTACTACATCATCATACATCTTTATATTTGTTTATATCTTTTTGATAATCCAATTAATTGTTAATTTAACATTTTTGAATGGTATATACATATATATATGTATATATGAAATGGGATTTGAATAAATGCCTTTAAATAGTAATCAACAAAAAAATCAAAAATTAATTTTAATGCAGAATTATGGAACCCTAATAGGAGAATTGTTTTGGTTAAAGTGAAAATTCTTGATAATTTATTCTTAGGGATTTATTAACTAAATATGATCATTTATTTATTGAGTCAGAATCAATACCATCTCATTAGTTGTAGTATGAAACTCCTCACCACACTACTAACTTAATTATTAGTCCAAATTTAGCAATTTTAGGTTATAATAAATCATATCATTTCCCTTATTCTAGTGTTTTAAAGACAATTTTCTTTTAAAAATGTGTAATTTATATTTTTCTCTAAATGAGATTTTTTATAAGAAAATAGCCTTTAGTTGACACCAAATAACATCCTATAGCCATTATAAAGTGTATTATTCTCACAATGATGGCATGACAGTGATCTTCTCAAGCTTTATCCATGAAATATTATATTTGGCCATCACAATATGCTTATGTATTGGGAATTTTGGTCTCACCTACTCATGTATTATACTGTATTTTTAACTTGTTTTCATGGTTGATAATTTCTATTTCTATTTTATACTTCTTCCTTGTTTTTAGTCATTAATTCCAAATAATTTAATACTATATAATCTTTCTCTCTCTCTCTCTTCCACTCTTAGAAGAAGGTTTGGCTGCTACTGGTCTCCCTGTTGTTCTAAAAAAGGAGCTCCTTTTTTGGAGTGCGTCGTCGAAAAAGGGTAGAAGAGTCGAGGGGAGTGTGAGGATCGAAGATGTGCGGAGGAGCGATCATTTCCGACCTCATTCCGGCAACGAGGTCGGCGCGGCGGGTCACCGCGGACTACCTGTGGCCGGATCTGAAGAAGGGGGGAGCCAGTGGGGCGAAGAAGAAGAGGAGGAGCGGCAATCGCCGGGCTGTGGAGGTGACCGAGGATGATTTCGAGGCCGACTTCCTGGAATTCGACTACGAGTCCATGGATTCCGAAGTGGAGGACGAGGTGGAGGATAAGCCGCTCGCTTTCGCCTCCAAAGGTATCCTTGCTCTGGGATTTTTGTACGCTACGTTGATGAAAAATTGATTCTTTTTGCTTGTTCTTGTCGGAGAATGATACTAGGATTTGACGATTTTCCCATGTTCTAATTTCTCCATTATATCTATGATTTGATTTTTCTTTGATCTTGTTAGATCCCATCAGAAATATGGTCTTTCTCTCTTGTTTATCGATAATACTGTATTGAGATTTGAAGGCTATGCTTCTATTCGATCCTACTCTACATTTTGGAAGCTTCATAACCAAGATCGGATTTTTCACCTCGTCTCCATTTATCTTTTTATTTTTCTTCCGATCGTGACTTCAGATTTGAGAATCATTTTTGAACAGTAAAGATATTTTTTTCCTTCTTTTTTGGAGACAACAATTGTCTTAATTGTTCCAATTTTCTCTTATTTTTCCACGGGGAAGAATATTGTATGAATGTACATATGTAATTATCTTTCAGTATTGTGGTCTGCGTTCTTCGTCGTATTCTTTCTATACAGTGAAGTTCATTGCTATAATTAGTAGTTGTATATGACTTCGTTAATGATTGCTAGCAGCATAGTACATGGGCTTCCAGTTTTGCTTCTATTTTCCATTGCAAATTCTAGTGAAGTAAATTTGGTTGTTATTTTTCAAGTAATCGGCAGACTGAATCATCCATTAAGGCCATGCAAATATTGCTGATCATTCAATGCTAAAACATTGTGTTTCACACATGTTATCACTCATAAAAAAAGGTTGGTGATCGTCAAGGTTTCCATAAATTAATAGCTGGTATTCAGTATAAGAACTCTGAATCCTGCTTTTCTGCCTCGAATTATGTTGTGAACTTTATGTGATTTTTAAGAGATCAGCGGAATCATGTGTCGTGGATGTTCATGGATTCAGTAACTTCTTATGTGAAAAAAATGAGAATTAAGCTTGTGGGATTCTGCTTTAAGTTGTACTTTAAACATATGTCAATTTGATCTATTTGTACTTGAGGCCTGTAAGAGACTCATGATTTGTTTGATCTGAGGAAAAACATGTTTACTTGCAATCTCGTAGAAATGGTTTTTGCTGTTATGGATAAAATAAATGTTCGTTCTTACCAATTGACTGCCTAGGTTACATGGAGATGCCTCTCCTTAAACCTTCGTTCATTGAGCGTTCTTCTGGTTTCCAACTAGTTAATTCACTCTTCTTAATCCTGCATTTTGCTACTATTGTCCTGGATGCATTATTGATAATCAAGAACTATGAGTTTCACCTGGACAAAACTTGGATAATTATAATTTTGTTCTAGGAAAACTGGAAAACCAAAGGTGAGAATTAGTCATTCTTTGCTTGATCGATGTTTTAGGCTATTTGGTTACGGTTTTATGATCCTTAAAAGCTCATATTCGTCAATAGGTTAAGAAGATGAAGAAGTGTCCTTAAAAAGTCCTTGTGAAACTTATGATCCTTTGTTAGTCCTTCATCCCAATGTTTTCTACTTAATTCTCTTAATTTGGTATTTCTGCTGTGATTTCATATTCTTCATTAGATTTTAAGATGATAAGATAATTCGGGTCATCACCCAATCCTCATGGGGCCAAGTGGTCTAAATTTTCGTCCAAAATATTGTTGCACTAATTTGTTATCTGTATTCTATTATGCTGCAGCAGTCACTCTGAAATCTGTAGAATTCAATGGACCTGCAGCTAGGTCTACTAAAAGGAAGAGAAAGAATCAATACAGGGGAATCCGGCAGCGTCCTTGGGGAAAATGGGCAGCTGAAATTAGAGATCCTCGTAAGGGGGTTCGCGTCTGGCTTGGAACTTTCAACACTGCTGAAGAAGCTGCAAGAGCCTATGATACAGAGGCCCGTCGTATCCGTGGCAAGAAAGCCAAAGTGAACTTCCCTGATGAGGCACCACCAATTGTACAAAAGCGCCCCCTCAAATCAAATGTAGCCAAAGCACCTAAACTGAACCCATCAGAGAAGCTTAACTTCAGCCAATTTACAAATTACCTGAATGAACCAGATCAAGATTTCTACTCTGCTTTTGATTTCATCGATGATAAGGGACCCATCAAGCAATCCATAAACACATGTTCCTTCTCTGGGATGAAACCATCTCCACCTACTGATGGACCTGCAATTAACCTGTACTCTGACCAGGGAAGCAACTCTTTTGATTGTTCTGAATATGGCAGGGAAGGCGAGGCTAAAACTCCTGAGATCACATCGATTCTTACTCCAACCATGACTGAATCTGAAGAATCAGCATACTTTGAAGGTCCCCAGCCGAAGAAATTGCGAAACAATGCTGGAGAAATGGTGCCTGCTGAGAACTCTGCTGCTAATATTTCCCAGGAACTAGCTGATTTTGAATCATACTTGAAATTTCTGCAAGTACCTTATCAGGAGGGGGGCTCCGATGAATCTATTGAGAGCCTTCTCGGTAATGATGTGACTCAGGATATGAACGGTGTGGATCTCTGGAGCTTTGATGACCTGTTTCCAATCACAGGCAGTGATTACTGAGGAACCACATCTTCTCACAACTGGTTCTGTAAACGGGATGCAAGCGTAAGTGTCTTACAGGAGTACAAAATGTTTAAGCTATTCATTTCGTATATATCTCGTTTTTCTCTTCTTTGAAAGCAGCTGTCCCTTTTTTGTTTTCGTTCCAGGAATCAACGCTGACGACGATACAGAGAACCAGTTATGCTATATATGATCACTGGTCGGAACTTTGGTTAATTCTATTATCCCCGGCGCTAAATATCTTATGTTATGTTGCCTCCTAAATGTTCCTGTTAAACACTGAGACTTGGTTATGCTTACTTGTCTGGTGGCTATGTGGAAAATGGAACAAATACTGCTTTATATCTATGTTTGTCATTGTTGCTCTTGGAGATGCTTGGACATCCTTCTTTTGAAGTTAAACAGTACATCCTTCAAGACTCTTGTTGCTATTTTGCTATGTTGGGTTTTTGTTCTTATGGATTGAGCTTGCATACCAATAGGCTGTTGGGGAGCTGAAATCTGTTAGGCATTTAAGCTTTTACCTTATCCTTTTCTTTTAGAAAACTGATTTTTTGTTAGAACATATGGTTATATCTGCTAAAATCCATCATAGTCTCTCTGTTGCTTCTGTCTAAATAATTCTCATTTCTTGCAAACTATATGGAGCTGAGGTAGAAAGTTAGCAATTCATAAGGCTTTGTTTTGTCTTTGTTCAACTAAATATACATGGATTGTTTAGCATTTGAAGTGCTTGTATAATGTTGAGTGTTAGATCTGAATTGAGATATAGTAATAGGCACTTATATTACTTACTACACATAACGAGTCTTCTTTGTATATCATTTAATATTTTATTTTTATTTTTTTAAACTATTAGATGTGGCTATGCTTTAATCATTAAAAACACATTAAAAAAATTACAAATATGAGGTCAAGAGGCACATTAAAGTTTCCTTTAGGGTTATATGTGCACTCTCCAAGGCAGACAATACACTATTCATCTCTCCAATAATATGTGATGCAAAGTTGCATTCATGCCTATTATTGGATAAGGCAAAGCTGAGAGATAATCTTCAGTATCACACCAAATATAGCTCATCTACAGCTCTTCCCTGTGTATAAGATACCTAAAAAAGCTCTTTCAGATCATTTGTCCCTGAGAACAAAGAATAACATGATAGAAGAAGAGAGTTAGGGTTCAGAACAAGGAAACAATGTTTCCAATTTCCCTACTGCACTTGTAGAGATCAGCAAGTATCTATGGGGCTTAAAAAGCCCTGACAATTAAATGATATTTCAATTGAAGAGTTAAGTTAATTAGATTTACAACCATTTTTCTTTTCTTTTAATTTAGATGTTTCTACCTCACCTCATGGGAAACGGGCCTTAATTAACGGGTGTAAATTGGGCCGGCCATTATTAGCCCACAAACCCGGTTTAATTGGCCCATCCTAGATTTGCACGTCCTTTTTCGGAGTCAAAATTAGGGCTTTTTAGGAACGCGAATCTTCGAAAACAGGAATCTAACATTGCAAGAAGTCAACTTTCTACATCTCCGAAGCGCTTAGAAGTCGTACGAGTGTCGGGACAACCCGACGTTCAAGCTATGGTCACCTCCACGGTTCTCGTCTTGGGCTCGGGCGGCGGAATCTTCCCCACGACGACGGTGAGCACGCCGTTCTCGCACTTGGCTGTGATGCCCGAGGAGCTGGCGTCTTCCGGCAGCCGGAATTTCCTCAAAAACTTGACGGGCGCGCTCCTCTCCAGCAGCAGGTACCGGCACCCTTCCTCCTCCCCGTCGTCCCTCTTCCTCTTCCCGCTGCTCTTGATCACCAGAATCTTCTCGTCCTCCAGGGTCACCTGCACCCACGCGCGTCGTCAAAGAAATCGCCACCCCGCAGCTGGATCAAATCGTGGCGGACGAGTAGAAGAATACGTACTTGGATGTCGGACTTGGACAGACCGGGGACGTCGATGACGAAGGTGTATTCCTTGTGGCTCTCGAGTATGTCGACGGGTGCGCTTCGGAGGCCCACCCCCTCCTCCCCGTTGCGGCCGCGGCCGTTGCCGCGGTGTGCGTCGTGCGGCCGCACGGCCGAGGCGGGGAAGCCGAGCTTCTCCAGCGTCTCCGGGAGGTGGAACAGGTGGCGTACCGCCGAGTCGAAGAGTGCAGAGTCGGCCGTCAGGCTCATCCTTCTTCCTCTGCGTGCGTGCGTGCGTGCCTACGAGCGCTTCCTGTTCGATGCTAGTCCTTGTAGGGCAGGGAAGAAGTGCCGATCCGTAATAAAAAGAGGGAAGTGGAAGGTTCCAGAGGTGATGAGGTGTCCTGCACCGGTGGATGATCCAGAAGAATCTGGAAGGGACTGGGCCTTATATTTTGGCCTTTATCTGCGCTTCTCAAATTTTCTTTTATCATTTTTCTTGAAAATAAAAATAAGGTAAAAGATTATGATATTATTTTTTTTATGATTGTCTAAACAAATATTTATATTCTTTGTATTTAACGATTGGTACCCCTTTTTGTTTTTAGAGTTTACTATTTAGAGTTTTTTTTTTCTATTCATAATTTTTTATTTATATATATATTTTTTATAGTCGTCATATGCATCTTGTTATTATGGACTCTCCCTATTGTTCACATAACTTACTAAATAGTTTACACTAGATTTAGAATATGACATCTTTTGAGTTAATATAATTATCTAGAATATATTATCTTTTAGATTATTATAGAATGTATATAATTTTAAAAATATTAAATTATTATAATAATATTAAAAATTATTTCTCATCTCCTTCTTTTTGATATTTAGTTCATTCCATTTCATCATCTATTTTTTTTTTTATCATTTTACGATTAAAAGGAGGAGAAGAAAATGATGAATAAAAAAAGAAAGAAAAGAGGTTTCTAGATAAAAATTAAAATCTTTTTATTAGAATTAAATTATAAATTGACAATATATACATCTATTTAAAAGATATAACTTAGAAATATTCAAAGTTCTTGACATGAGAATATAAATAACAAAAAGGAGATTGCAAATAGTAATCTCGATTTGCAATCTCCTTATCTATTTTCAAATAATATCCATAATTTATAAATATTCAAAATACCCCTTAAAATTTTTTCGTCAATTTTTTTGCCTTTTTCTTTTACCAATTTTAGATGGTTACAATATTTTTATTTGGCTCATTTATAATATTTTTAATAATATTTATAGTATTTTTATTAAGATATTAAAAATACTGTAAACACTATTAAAAAACACTGTAAGTGATATTATATTATGTATTTTCGATTGTCATTAATCATAAACCATTATGATGGTTCGGTTGAGATTAAAAGTTCATTTAGATCATTTTCAGTAGCTTCAAGTAGGTTTTACAATGTTTTTATTGTGATGATTATTTTTTTTTTATTTTTATTTTGATGATATTAATTTTAAATATTATAAATACCTATTTGATGATATATCAAGTGGTTTCTAGTGTATTTTGATTCTATTTAACTTATTTATAATATTTTTAATTAAATTTTATATTATTTTTATTATGACGATCAAATCACTATAATAAGTCAAAAATACTATAATGAGTCAAAAAAATATAATTAGAGACAAAAAACTAAAATGAGAATACCAATTGAGAAATACCCAAAATATGGGTATTTTCTAGGAAAATCACCTTATTCTTTTATTTATTGATTAGCAAAAAAAAAAAGGCCTGCCTTCTACCATCATGTTTAATTAAGCACTTGATAGAATCAAATCCCACAAGTTGACAAACTCATGTGTCTACAACTCCCCCCCTTTGCATTAGATTAATGTGACTGCTCCAAAAAGAAATGTTCTTTTCTGTTGTCTGAATCAGCTCAAAGTTAGATGATAATAGTACTCTTATTTCTTTCATTTACTTGTTCATGTCCGTCAAGGGTCAGGTGTCGATCCACAGATCAAACACCGTACAGGTTTCATGAGTTGTGTGGTGTTGTGTTAGATTTCCAACACTCTGTGCCTCAAAAACCTTTGTTTTGTAGGAAGGGATGGAGTTGACAGGAACATTGCACCCTTTCCTGGGATGAGAGTTGTTCTTAGCTATCGTGATGATATGTTATCTGCAATGACAAGTATTTATTGTTAGTGGTATAATTTGTTTTACGGATTCAAGACTTCAATAATGACAGCAAGAAGGATAAGGATTTGTGTCGTGTAGGTATGTTGTTGAGATGAGGCTCCATTATTCCCAGTTGGTTCATTCACTTCTTGTCGTCTGGAAGGTGGTGTCTGCGCCATTGGTGGTCTCCGGTGGGCTCCTCATTCTTCCTCCTCCTCCTCCTCACTGCTTTAAAGTCTCACACCCATCCTATTAAACCTCCACCCAACGCCTCTCTCTCTCTCTCTCTCTCTCTCTCTCTCGTAGACAGACACTTGGAGATTTGGGTTAATGGCGAAGAGCGGCAATGGGAAGCTAGGCAAGCTGAGATGCATGATAAAGCGTTGGCATTCATCGAGCAGGATCACGAGCTCCGCGGCCGGGGGGAGAGGCTGCGGCGGCCAGTCGTCGAGGCCGCAGGAGGACGAGGCGTGGCGGTCGGCGTCGTTCAACGGAGACGCAGTCCCGCCCGGGCTCCACGCGGTGTACGTCGGCAAGACCCGGCGGCGGTACCTCGTCAGGTCCGACCTCGTCGACCACCCGCTCTTCCGCGTTCTGGTCGCGAGGACCGGAGGGTCAGTTGGCGGCAGCACCGGCGACGGGACGGTGGTGGGCTGTGAGGTGGTGCTCTTCGACCACCTTCTGTGGATGCTGGAGAACGCCGACCCCCCGCCGGACTCACTGGACGAGCTGGTGGACTTCTACTCCTGCTGAAGACACATTAGATTCAAAGCTAAATTATCAGATCTTGTTCATCTCCCAATCGCCTTAACAGAATAATTCTGACATCTTAGCGCAATCTGTTCCTGTTTGTGTGCTTATCAATCTCAGATTTGTAAGCTTCTTGCTCGACCAAGAACAGACGATGAATCCACAGGAGACTTCATGATCAGTACTCGAGACCTCATCTTTATCAGAAAAGAACAAAACGCATATATACTATTAGCTGTGAGATCACTTTTAAGGGCTGGCATTGCACTGATGCCGGAAGTGGGCTCGACCACAAGGAAAAGAACTACGAGACTAAACATCATGAACACATTCCTACTTAGGTTGTTGGTTTGCTTAGGAAAAGACCGGACATTGTTGCCACTTTATGCTGTCCTCCTTGAGGGTTAGGTTAGCCATTGTTGCTCCATCTTGTGCCTTTTTCTTCTTTGCACTGCAACCAATTCTACTAGATAGAGAAACACGATCTTTTCTAAATAATCCCGTCATCATGGGACCAAAATCTTTGGCTTGTTTTCCTTGATATCCACACGACCTATGCATCAAAAAGAAGCTTAAGAAGTCGGGCAAGCGAATGCACTGCAGATCGCCATGCATGCAATGTTGCAGATGCAGGTCCTGAGCATCCAAAAGGAAGCCAGACACAGAGAGAGAGAGAGAGCACATGGTTTGACGGTGCATGCAGTGGGTGTCTGAGGAGCACATGGTATGCTTCATGATTCTTTGGGTTTTCTGGTAAATAAAACAGGACAAAGATCCCTCGTGGGGGCTCCCAAATCCCTCCTATGGCCCTGATCAGATCTTTGTTGTCCTAATGGATAAATCCACGAGAGAGTGAGTATGGTCTCGGCCCCAAGAATTCTACAAATCATTGTTCAAACACAATGAGCTCGATGTTTATTTTTGTGCTGCTCGGCTCTATCTGTTGGGTCTTGATTGATTCGAAGTATCAATCATATCATATACCCTCCATTATACTTTAGGAAGTCTTGTTTATGCCGGAGTGCAATGTGTGTCTTCAGGAACTCAGATGACTACAACCTGTATGAAAAATCCATCGAAGAGCGTCTTCAAAGCTTTCGCTCGAGTATCGCTAGATGTTTTGGCCACGAAAATCCTGTTAGGGTGTTCTGTACGAGTTACCCACGGAAACACGACGGTCACATCGGTTGTCCGCTTAAGCACCGAGCGTCGAGGGATGTATTGGCCGTCGAGGCTGCGTCGCGGTGCATCGTATGAATTACCGTATTATGACGCATCAAATGCGAGAAAATAGTTTTGTTTAGGGAGTACGGATGGAAGAGATAATGTCGATTGCTTGAGAAGTCACAAGCATCCTCGACATCCATCAGACTTTGGGTTGTTTTTATTTGGAAGATGCGATGAACTTAGAATGTTGGGACCGACGAGGCAGACTTGGAATATCGCGACAGTCATCTGAGAGATATGACACGCGGGTGATGGTGGAGGCAGTGGATGAAGCTGCAAATGTGGCGCCGAACGAGGTCAAAGTTGGGGATGCAACATCGAGGGACAGCGGCGCATGGGTAGCGGCACCAGCGACGTTGGGTGGTACTGCACCGGTGGCTCAACGCAAGCCTTGTTGCTCACGGACGATGTCGGATGGAAGACATTCGGCGATTGGCCACGGCCAATGATGCAAGGCCCAGCAGCGGCTTCAAGCAACTAAAATGACAACGAAGGTGACGATAAGCTACAGCAGTAGTGGCAATGGTAGCTGCAGCACAAAGGCATGGAAGCGATGCGCAGTGTAGCGGAGCCATGGATGGTGAACAACGGCATCAACAATAACAAGGGTAGGAATGGTATGGTCACGAGGAAGGAGAGGAGAATTCTAAAATAAAAGAAAAATATTCGAAGAATAATAATCATGAATATACTAGAAAATCAATATAAGATTAATATAATTCGGTAAATTACAACACCCTTCAGTTCAAATCTCTTTATATGCCTTCTAACATAAATTCTAAAGAATTTATATATTTTATTTTACCCTCTTTAAAAATCCTAGAGATAACTTTCTTTAAAGGCCTGAAAGAATAAACTCAGAGTACTTAAACATTCCTCATATCTTACTTATATTCTCATCAAAATCTAAAAATATAAAAGATATTTATAAAAGAATTAAATCTTAATTTTTAATATCTTCTTATTTCACAAGGACTCCTTATATTAGGATTCTTTATCCTCTTAAGACACTAGTTCTAAAAATCTTTAAATACTTATCAATTCAAATAATAACTTCTTTAGTGAGTATTTTATCCACTTTTATGCCTTTTAAAAAGAGAATATTTTTACTCCATACTATTTCAATATGTGTCGCTCATCCTTATTGAATCTTTGATATCGGATCTCTTAGGATTTATATCGCTTAGAGAGGAGGATGGGAGAATTTTAAAATAAAAATTATTTAGATATTAATAATCAAGAATATATTAAAAAGTTGATGTAACATTAATGTAGCTTGATAACTCTTTATCTGCATCCATAGAGAAAAATCAAATTCTTCATCATGTGAATTCAAATCCTCTTATATATCAAGAATTTATCTCTTTTCTTTTACCCAATCTAAAAATCTTAGAAGATAACTCTAGAAGCCCTAGCTCTCTCTAGAGGCCTTAAAATATAAACCCTTAAGAATTAGTATTCTAATATTTTTAATCAATTTTAAAATTCGATTGAGAAAATAATATGTTTCAAAATCTCAATTGATCAAGTTAAAGTTACGAGTAAAAATAATAATACTAAATCATAAATAAAAAGATAAATAAAATGAGGCAAACCAATTTATAGTAGTTTTATTTTCTCATCTACATCTATTTCTAATTTCTCTTTCATTGAGATTACCAACTTTCACAATTGATCTTCTTTCTAACGAGTGAAGATCCATTATCTTTTTTACAACTTTATTCTTTTTCAAACTTGGGAGATAATCCTTACATTAGTTTTTTTATAAAAGATCTCTTACCTCATACAACTTAGTATTATAACCAAACTCAAAAGGAGGAGAACAAGACTTAAATCATGATAAAAAATAAGAGCTTATAATATTTCACTATCTTAAAAATGAATGTCTCATCAACTAAATCAACTAAGTCTAAGTGAGATATTTATAAACCCCAAAAGACTTCAAATATGGAGTCAAAATTTTAAATCATTGAAATTTCGAGATATAGGTGGTACTACCATTGACATTGGGCGATACTACTATCGTAACTTTTGACATGAGCCATAAATCTAGACTTCGACAGTACTACCATCGTAAAATTTAAATTTTGAGCAATACCATCACTACCTTAGGTGGTACCATCATTGCCTTAAATGGTATTATCATTAATAGTATAACACTTTTTATGTTGTCAACTAACTCAAAATTTCGATCCATGCTTCATATAAGCCATTTATCTAGCTTTCTAACATACCTAATTTTGACCCAAACCTTAGCCCAAAGGTTTTTACAAGCTTAGGCTCAAAATTAGCCCGAAATTGACTTAAATTGACATAGAACACTTTGATTTTAACCCAACAACTTTAACAAGTACAACGAAGCTTTTATTATGACTTCATATCTTACGACACACTCCTTTAGACATGTCGTCTTTTGTGAAAAAATTTAGGGGCAACATTACATGCGCAACGGAAGAACATAAAACAAAATCTCAGATTTTTCAAAAATGTGTTTGTTGTTTTGATATGTAAAAACCCTCGAAACTGAAAACTACGCGTACTAGGGAGATTTTATTAACTAGGAAAATCGTATATCCCTGAATTCCTACATATCTATGGGAGAGGATAAAAGAGGTTAAACATCCTCCTCTCTAGTGATGATCCACACGATAGGGGCTATGGAGATGCTCCTCGAATAGTTGTTCAAATCTCTACACTTGTTATCTAAAGAGACCAAAGGGAGAGGAGAATAGGAGGTGACAACCAAGAAGCCTTAACCTATGGCCCTGTAATTTTCTCCAATTCATAAAGGCCCTCTATCAACTTAACCCTAATGGATCATACCATATTGGGTATTAGATCTTCATCCAACTACCCAAGCCTCTTAGATTAATGGATCTTTATCCAATAGTCTCTCATTTTCTCTTATTGGATCTCATCCATATAATCCAATAATTCAAGAACTTATTGGATATCTAATAAGATAAGGGCTTTGACAGATATCTCATATCTGAATATTTACTCATCGTAACACCTACTATATATATATGACACTCTAGGCCTAATATTGAGCCGGCCATGAGTCATACATGTTAGAACTCTTTCTAACTGAGTGAATTACTATCTCTATAAAAATTCACTTAACTCATTGACTGTGGATATACTAGGCTACTATGTCGTAATCCCTAGACGATACAGAGGAATCCAATCCTTTGAACATATCTGTCCTTAGTTACTGTATATCTATAGTCCCTTATCTATCTAATATCCTAGAGACCGTATACCGGGCATGGTGCTATCAGGCCCATACAGTTTCTCCTTAAGTCTTACTCTAATCGGATTCTTTAGGATAACTCTTTCTCTCTCAATCCGAATGACCATGACTAAGGATTTGTTTGAGTAAGGACACATGAGATATTCCTCTCATGACACCAAAAGTGGATGATCCTCTATCGATATTCAATAGCCTTCATAAGATTGGTTGTTACTATCGATAACTGATTGTATTAGATTCGGAACTTCAAGACCTATAAGTTTGATATCAAAGAGTTAAGTACTTATACATGACATCTTTGGTATCTCTCAAGTCTAAGGAATATGTACATCATTGAGACGACGGAATCGTTGTTTAACAATGAGATATCATCAACCATCTAGTATTCCGTGAGCGGATCAATCAGTTAACTCATTCTCGAATGAGCACCTGTATTGTAGCTCCAGTGTCCCCAAACGAGCAACTATAAGACCAGCCACCTCTATCATATAGACGAGTATACAACATACCAGTCTGTCTGGTTATCTCGATGTCTCTCTCAAGTAACATATGATCAGGATTATTAGAGTCTGCATTTAAAGGTGGATAAGTATCATTATCTTGATCTCATCACTATCTGATTCTCATTGCACAAATCCATGACATCATATTTATGCATGTAATAAACAATATAAAGTAATAAAATATCAAATAATATAATAAGCAAAAAAGATAACATATTATGTTTTCATCACTCACGTGATTAGCTTGCAGGACATCTATAATTAGCATCTTCGTCATGACATCTAATCTTCTATTGTAATATTCAATCCTTCTTATACGATGTCTAAACCTCTAGCACAAAGTCCATTCTTTAACATATCGACCAATCCTTCGGCTCGATGTTAGCTCCTTTGGTGATCCGATTATATAATAGACATATTTCTTGTATCATTCATCTCAAAAGTATATTAGTCTAATAAATATAACGATTGATTTCATTATCACAAATTTAAGATTCTAACATCTTAATGCTTCTAAGACATTTGCTTTAAGAATCTGAAAATACTTGTCAATACCAATAATAACAAATAATAATATTTTAATATGCAATAAAAATATTACGCAACGCAAGCAATAGTGACTTTGGGTGGTGATGGCCCAATGAAAGATAATATTGGCCTCGAGCGATAATGGATAGCAATGGTGTTAACTCTTCAGGTGTAATGGAGGATTGTAATGGCTCTAAGGGACAATATATAACAGAAGTAGTCTTACGATGTGGCAATAAGACAGAGAACACAATCACCTTGAGACCCACTTAGGCACTGGTTACCTTCCAACTAATGATACAATGGCGCCTTCCTTCTACATCAAAATATTGGTATCAAAATTCATTATCGACCTATATAACACAAAGTTGAAATTGAGCTGAGCAATCTCACTTCCCGAACTAGATCTTCGAGGATGTAATGCTCCTTTATGATGCCTCTATGTCACTGGCAAAACTTGCATGTAGTTTCTGATATGATAATTCTAATACTTAAATCAATTTAAAAAATATTTTTTTTATATAAATATTCTTCTCTTCCACTCATGCTAATGTGGCAGTCTAACTGACTAGGCTCTATGTGTCAAATCTACCTGATATAATATATATCAAAACTTGATGTGACCCAAAGGGAGATTTGAATACTAATCGATGTTCATAAGATTAAAATCGAAAAATCGAATGAGAGTAAGCAATATCTAATGTATGACCTAGTGAGCTTTTTATAATGGGTTTAAATTGAAAAAATATGATATGATATGAATAGAATATTTCTTTGATATTTAATATTAGGTTGATATTTACGTGGCCCAATTCTTATATAACACTATATCTTAATATCGATTAAAAAAAAACTCTATATATCTCCTTAATTGGTCAAATTATATTCAACGTAAAGTATTTATGTGAGATGGGATTTCAAGTGACATATGTGCTAAAGTTAAAATTATAAGAATAAATATAAAAAAAAAATATTATTTATAGAGACTTATTTGTATGAATTTTTTTCCAAAAAAAAAGGAAAACAAAACGTTTCATTTTCTCGCGTATGAATTTGTCCGTTTTCTCCCGCCCCGGCTTTTACCCGTTAAGGGAGGCTTTCCGCCACCTCTCCCGCTCTCTCACAGCTACAGTGGCAATCCCGTAAATGTCACGGTGGAAGTTGGCGTCCAGAGCGGGCCTCAACCACGGAACTTTCTGGAGAGGCGACAAAAATATCTTGTTTTAACCGATCTGGACCGTCGGTACGCATCATGGACACCCATCCTACGGTGGGATCACGGTTCCACTCGAGGCTGGAAAAGATAAGGGTGGGGTGATAGTTACCGCGGGGGAGCCCTGCTGCCACTTTAAAGGGGGAGGAATGATCGAGAGGAACGCACCGACTTCCTGTGGGGGATTCGTGGAGGGCGTGCCGTGGGGGTTTCTCGAGGCTCTTGTAGTTACGTGTTGGGGATGAATGGGTTGGTACTACTACGTGTGTGAGTTCTTCGACTCGTTCTATGCAGGTTTGCGGCGGCGCGAGGAGGGGGATAGAGGCGGAATCTGCTTTTCGGTGGCGGTGGTTTTGCTGCAATGGCGAGCGACATGGATGCAAGCGGCGATTTCTACTCGGTGCTGGGGCTGAAGAAGGAGTGCTCCGAGGCGGAGCTCAGGAATGCGTACAAGAAGCTCGCTTTGGTATTGTGCTGAATCGAGAATCCCCACTCTTCGTCATGATCGTCGTTGATCTCAGAGCTCCATACATCAAAAGTCGCATCTTTGGAAGAACGGCAACTTTTGTCTATAATTATTCCTCTGAAGGCTTGGGGTTTTATGATCTTTCCTTTTGATCTCGATATCATTGATTCGTGGCGCAAGGAATCGATGCGACCTGCGCGTAATTCTATTGCGTCACTCAACTCTGAAACCTTTTTCGTTTTGCTTCGTTACCTTCTTCTTGTTGGTCGAGTAGAACTTTTGGAATCGACGCGAACTCTTTGTTTCTACTGAAAACTCTCATCTTTTCCCTACTGTTCGCGACAGAAGTGGCATCCCGATAAGTGCTCGGCGTCGGGTAATGAGATTCGCATGAAGGAAGCGAAGCAGCAGTTCCAGGAGATCCAGAAAGCCTACTCTGGTTCGTTCCCCGTCTTTTCCTCCCCTCTGCACCCACCTTTTCCCTGATCTCTACAGACCATGTCATCAAATGATGACAAAGATACGAAGCTAGAGGTATCTGCTCCGTGATTCAGCAAAATCGTAGTCTGCTCGTTCCATACACACAAAAAAGAGGCATTTTTATGGGTTCCCGTTCTTCTGTCATGTTGAGGCACAGTTCTCTCCGACTCCAACAAGAGATTTCTGTACGATGTTGGAGCCTACGACAAAGACGACGACAAAGACGAAGAGGTAAACCAACTTTTACTTTGGTGCGATTCCTCGATTTTTCCTTTGTTTCTCTCGATCACCCCTTTCGTCGCAGGGGATGGTGGAGTTTCTTGGGGAGATGGCGCAAATGATGAGGCAAACCAAATGCTGTGTAAGTCGCTTGTCTTTGAGTTGCTCTGAATTCATCTCATTTGTGCTTCTTCTCGTTTGAGGCGACGGGGCGTTGGTGCAGGGGAGCGGCCAGGAGAGCTTCGAGCAGCTGCAGCAGATGTTCGTGGAGATGTTCCACGACGATCTGGACGCGGGATTCTGCGGCCACTCCTCGGCCACCTCGGGCGCGGCGTCCTGCGGCAACAAACGGGACAACTCGGCGATGGACTCGGGCAAGCGGAAGCCGGACGAGTTGGACCCGGCCGCCATTGGGTTCTGCCTCGGGGTGAGTCGCCGAGTCCACTCTTCCCATCCCCCCTCCTCCCAGGGATCTCCACGTACCTGCTGTTGCTGCGGGTCCCAAACTTGCAGAGAAAGTTCTCAGTACTTGTTCCTGCACCCCTGTGTCTCTCTCACATGTCCATTGAGTTCTTCATCTTCATCCATACAGCTATGCACTGGACTCACCCAAGCATTTCTTGGCTACTTGTCCTCCGAGTTCATCCTACCAACATTGTTATAGGTTACATTGAATTTGACATGCTACAGAAGTTGACAGTTCATAGGATTAGGTCAATCTTTATCACATACACATATGCAACATATAGCAATCAGTAACACAGAAAAAGGCACTTATACTGGTGTTGATGTGTTAGCAATGGCACACCAACATGGTGCTTTCATTGCATGTGGAAAGGCAAACATATCACACTCAATTCACTATGACATTCATGCATCATTGGTTTCCTATATGCATTTTGTGTGTTCACCATGCATTAATGTTTGAAATTTAGATATTTTCTTCAGAGCACTACTTGATGTAAAAAAAGTGATTCATGACAGTCATAGCATTTATTTGCCTACTAAGTTGATTGCTTAGCTTGAGCAATCACCCTATTTAGCTTGACAAAAAGAGTGGTTCCTGTAGTAAGATTCTGAAGCAAGTGGATGTTGGTATCATCTCACATCATTTTGAGCATGTTTTTCGGTTGCCATCTTTTGCTGGAAATACACAAAGTAGCATGCCAGAAGAGGCAGTTCATCAGATGATATCTAGTTTCTGCCACATAATTTGACCTGGCAGGCTGATGATTTGTGGAGGTTGAGAATGATAGAGGCATGGCTTTACCAAGTCAGATCGGGACACATCTACTTTATAACTTCAAATATAGCAACTGGAATGAGGTGGCTTCTTTGAGAGAATAATTTTAAGATGTAGAATAATCTATAAGTTGCCATGCTTGAAGCAGATTCAGACAGCTAACTATGCTTGCCACCTTTTTAATCCTTCTATCTGAATGCCTTGCAACTTCTTCCATGTTTTGGATCAGCACTTCTGTATGGTATAATATTTTTATTAGTCGCCTTCTGAATTTTAAATCTGCATTGGCAGACAAAGGATGCAGGGCAATCCTCAAAAGGAAGAGGTAGCAACAGCAAGAGAAGGAACAGAAGAAAGCAAAAGGCATCATCCAAGCATGACAACTCATCTCACAATGCTAAGGTCTCAGCTTAGAGTTCTAGAATTGCACCTGTATTTATTTCACTCTTCTGAGTGTTTCAGGTAAAACTTCCTACCCTGCAGTTCTTCAACCTTGCACTGTAGAAAATGATTACTAGTAGTAGTGGTAGGCTGGTAGACTGGAACTTGTAATTGTAGGATGGTCGGCATGGTCCTCTGCTCAATTTCATGTACTCCTTTTATTCAAATAAATTTCTCGATTGAAGACTTATCAAATGCTTCTTTACCAAGTTAAATTATAATTCAGCTAGGTTAGGATGACAATGACCACCATATATTAAGTGTTGGTACTAAAGGATTTGAATCCATTTGGTGACACACAGAAGAAACAGGCATTTATTCAATGAAACCAAACCCATAAGCAGACTTATCATAGTAACTTTACAATAGTAAAGCAACACTAAGCCACAAGAAACTTGTAAGAGACATCTATTTGGACAAATTTGGGAAAAAAGTTGAACAGGATGTGCTGAAAGCAAATTATATACTGAAAGGTAAACCAATGTGGACAGGTGCATTCACATAGCTAAGTTATCAAAGATTTAAAGAACTCAGGACTTGTAGGTTGGCCTAATACAAACCCCTAAAAGTACATGAACAAAATAGAAGAAAGAAGGGGAGGGAACAAGAATACTATTATGTCCAGATTCAAGGTTCTTGCAGTGACAATTCCAAATAAATGCAGTGTCTAAGCTTGTAAGTGGTTGCAATCCAACTTAGTGGTTCCCAAAAGGCAACAAGGGAAGCTTTTTCCCCTGTTGACAGGACAAGAGGTATCAGATACTCGAGTTGAGAGACATTGTCCTTTTGCATATACAACTAAATCGAAGAGATGATCCAGGTAAGATAAAAGAAAGACAATAAGGTCCCAAGGGAAGTAACTGAGCCTCTGTCCCTTGCAGATATATGTGCCTGTAGGTCTATAAGTTTCCTGTAGTGCAGAGATGCTATTAAATGAGATTAGAGCAAGTGGCACAGTTTAAGCTGTTTCACTTTTCTTTCTTTTGGAGGATAACCTTATCCTCATGACTTGATGTCCCTTTACAAGGTCTACCTTGTAGACATACCAAGATAGAGAATAAGCATTAGAGCAATTCTACATAGAGTGCATGAATCAATGCACTTATTTGTTCTTTTTTTTTTTTTTTTCTGTTTGTTGGTATTATCTATATTTCTTGTCTATTTTTAACACCAAAAAATTGGTAAGCATGTGGGTGTATATGTGGGTATGTGTGTGTTCTTATTTACACTTGGGATTTCGGCTCGCTTAATTTTTTTTTATAGGAAGTTTTATCTCTCTCTCTCTCTCTCTCTCAGCTTTGTTTTCTGCTTTTATTTGCTATTATTATCTTGCTTCATTACTTCAGAGGGCTTCCTCTTGTCGTGGTCTATATTAATTTGTTGCATTCTCTTTGATTTTCCATAAGGAAGTAGCTAGATTAGAGGGGTAACTAAGATCTCTGGCCCTCAAGTAATTGGGACATTATGGGTCATTGTTGTTGTTGTTGTTGTTGTATTTCTTCTAATAGAAACCTCTGGTTAAATATGTTACAGTTGACATAAAATATTTTGTTGTCGTTTGTTAAGAAAATATGCAAATCGGGAATCCATAAGAAATAAAGGAACTCTTTTTCCTCTTTGGGTTGCATCCTTTATTTGATTTGGCTTCGAGTGATGATCTCAAAAAAAAAAAAAAAAGAACTACTAGTGTATTACAATTTAGAATCAAAGAGTATGACATTTAAGCAATTTAGTTCCATGAACACAGTCATTTCTAGCTTAGCAGTCATGTCTACATTTAGAATAAGGAAAGTCTGAGTTATCAAAACAATAATCAATTTTGATGAAACACCAAAGATGGAGAATATAAGAATGTTCATGTTAGTAAATAAAACAATCTCCTGCTGGGATGGGTGTCATCATTTTTATTCTTTTTTTGAGAACTATTTAGTTGTATAGAGTAGGTGAAAAAGAGATGCATACTGGAAATTCATTATGATGGCATATTTCTATAAATCTTGTTCACTGTTGGAAATGATTGGCCTCTCCTGTCAGAAGTTATTTTCCCCTTTTAAAGAGCCTGTGCAAGCAATTCTACACATTCTGAGGGCAAAAAGTTAAAGCTGCAATAGGAGGAAATAGCACTTTTGGCAACTTGTCTATTCATGATGAGGATCCTAAGGGATGAAAAATCCAAAGCTCCCCATGTCACCTTGCCTTATCCACTTTGGAATATTCTGGATCTTCTTGTCTCTAGTTATATGATTGAAGTAGAAGGGCAGAAGAAGGAGAAAAGGAGTGAAAAAATAGGGTTCTTATGCCCCACATAACATGGCACACCCGAAATGGAAAATCCATGTTCATGAACTTGAGATAGATAAACTAAAAACCAATTGGATCATGTTCAGAACCTTCACTTTCAACTAGGGTTGTGGGAATCCATGGGCTCTATACAGAAGCTTCCTGTTCTTCCCTCCTTGTATGGAGATTAATTCCCAGAAAAATAGATTATGGAACCTACCATTAATAATAATTGTCTGTTTTTTTATTCTAGTCAGATGGTCTTCTTGTTGAAGATAGGGAGGTGAGAAAGCTCCTCCACTTCAGATACTGATTGTCCTAACATAAGTTGGTTGACCTCTCCAATGGGTAACTTCAGTTGTTGGCATTCCTCTACTTTGAAGAATATTTTCTCTTCTTTTTAAGTTGTGTTTGGTACAATCAATCTCTTACAAATATGTAAGACTAAATTGCTTGTGCTTTGTCTTCAAAAAATTTCTCAGGCTAGCTACCAGAAGCTGAAATTAGATGCCTGTCACAATTAGAGTTATCAGTGGTGGTGACACTGATTTCATGAGTGACAACAAATGGATGTGGTGATGAGCTTTTATTTCCAGCTCCAGGTTTCTTATCCACTTAAGGTAGAATCAAACAGTTAAAATTCTCTCTTTTGGATGGAAGATTAAGCAGTTAGACTTGAAGCATCAATTGTCTATGTGAATTGTGATTTGTGAAAGCTTCTGATCTTCATGCAAAACCTAGAAAAAGTGATTCTTTTAGTATCTACTTCCAATATACATGCAGATCAATACTGTGAGATGGCTATATCATTTTTTGCTGATGCTTATTTTGCTTGTATGAACCAGAGATATCACAAGGGTCTTCCCAATAGAGAGACCACTTAAATCTGGTAGGCCTTGTGTAGCCTACTAATTCCAGAAGCATATCATCTTGACATCAATTGGCTCTCCCTCTCAGCTCCCTTGTTTCAATAAATCATACACAAAATTGGTCCTCTGGTAATGAGTTCAATCAATCATGTTGAAAAATATTCTTTGAAAGTTTTTTTTATTTTAGAAATATTTTATTCATCAATTTTTATAAATAAGAGTCACTAAGTATTGTCAAAATCCTAAATATTTTTCTCTTAAACTCATTTTTTTTAATTGAAGTGAATTATGTATATGCAATTTTACCCTTTTCTTATACATATTCTGCAAGTGCCTACTTATTAGGTATATGTGTTTAATGAATGCATTAACTTGAAAATAAGAAAAAAAAGACCTACAGTTAGAGGTAAGCTGAGGGTTTTTTTTTTTTCCCAGTGGAAGGAAAGAGATATAGAATCCATTTTTTGTGTATAATTTTTACTTAAAAATAGAGGTAGAGGAACTACTAATGGAATCCATATTTTAGGGTAAGGAAAAGAATAGAAAATTGAAGGGAGGAAGCCAAATCAAGCCCAAGCTGAGCCAGCCAATTTAAAGGGTTAATTTTGACCAATTTTGACCTTATTCAAAACAAACCCACTGCCGTCCTCGATAAATGCCAACCTCAGCTCCCTCCGATCTCCCAACACGAGAGCGCAAAAGTCTCTCCTTTCGGAGTCTCAAAACTCTTCTCGAGGGAGAAAGAAGGAGAGCAAAGCGAACCACATGGGTCTTCTCGACCAGCTGTGGGACGACACCATCGCCGGCCCCCCGCCCCTCCGCAAGCTCCGCAAGTACAACTCCTTCTCCTCCTCCTCCTCCGCCGCCGCCGCCGCTACCGCTGCCGCTGCCGGCCAGGTCAGCCGCAGCATCACCATCCTCCGCACCCCGGCCTCCTCCCCCCGCTCCCCCTCCTCGCCGACCAGCGCCCCCGACTCCCCCGTCGCGCGTGAGTTGTCTGTTACGTGGTTGTCGAAGGTCCAGTAACATGAAAAGTTCGTCTTTTGAACCGCTTCTTCTGCAGCTACGGGGCCGAGAGGAGACTGGAAGAGGCTGCAGAGGAAGTCGGTGCCGGCGGCGGAGGGAATGCAGACGGTCGAGTCCAGGAACCCCACCGTCTACGACTGGTTCGCCCCTCTATACCCCTTTCGAAACATAAATTCTTTGCACAGGAAACCCTAATAATCCGTACACAAAAACTGCTATCTTTTTATGTGTAGTTTTCCACAGGAAACCCTAATTCATATTTTGCTCGTAATTATTCATTCATTTTGGCACAATTGGCGGCTGTAAACAACTTTGATCCAACTGTTAAAGAAAGAAACTTGGATTGCAGGGTGGTGATAAGTTCCCTGGAGAAGTGACCCTAATCTGAAATGGAGGAGAGGAATCAAAACATCAAATGATGCAAACAAAAGAGTTGCAGTCAGCTTGTGTTTCTTCATCTGTCTGTAGGATGTAGAATTGTGTAGCTGGAAATGAAGCTACCAAGGGAGAGAGGACAAGGATAGTAATGTAGCAAGTATTCATGTATTCTGACCATGTCACACTGGTTTTTTATTTTTATTTTTTTTCCTTTAAATTCTTTTCCTATTGACGACCTTCTCCCCATATTTTTTTCTTTTTTCTTTGTAATTTTTATGTTATTTCCCATGTAAATTGGTGGGTGGTGATGTAACATGCAATGCAATGCATGTTATCCATATATGGCTAATATGGATATCCATATGTATCTTATCCGACCCGTCTAAAATGTGTTAATTATTTAATGATAAAATTTGATCTAGAATCTTCTAGAAGGTCCTTTTAAACTATTTCCTTCATGTTAATATTTCTTCTTTTTATAGAGTGAGGAGGGCAAATTAGTCAGAGAGAAATAGCATCGCTAAACACCGGACGCCAATCTCTATCCGCCGTTGCATGTTCTCAAACAGCTAGAATTAGCTGGACCCATGATCCAAATTACCCAAACTACCCTTTCTCGCCTGTGGAATGCTCGATTTACTACTTTGCCCGAGCCCATCGTTTATGGCTCCTTCCGACATAGGGGCGTTCTCGTCTTCGAGGGCGGCGTTTATGCTCCACCGACCATAGCCGGTCGCACGCTTCGTGGCTCTGCTTCCCGGCTCGCGCCGACTCATGTTGACCGGCTCCTTAGAAGTGACACGCACCGATTCCCGTCGGTGACCGCCTCATCCCTGCAACTCACGAGCACCGTCGATCCGACGAGCTCTCGCTTTGAGATCCGCGCGCGATGCATCACGCGGAGTTTTTTTTTGTCTTAATCAAACGAAATTTATCGAGTCGGCCAATCAGAGACGTCGAATTGGCATTTGACGGTCGAATTGGTTCATGAATTTTTTATTCGTTTTTACTATGTTTAACTTTTTCTTTTGCCTCTCTTTCTCTCTCTCACGTCTGCTTGGTTTCTACCACGAATCCTAACCACTCTTCAGCGTTGGAGCTTACCATCGCAAAAGCGTTTCCTTCTTGTGTTCGTTTTAAGAAGGTGAGAAGAAGTGGAACTATGGCAAGAAGAGGAAGAGGGTAATAAAGAGGAAAAGAAAAAGGGGATCGGGAGAGAGCGGCGCACCGGGGAGATGGTGAGGACGCCGCCATCAGGCTGCGGGGGCGTCCGGAAGTCGCGCCACCGGCGGATCGCCGACATCCTCGCGGAGGATGAGGACTCCAGCGATGAGTCGGTTTTCCACGGCTATGGCTACGGCGGTCGCCGCGGCGGCGGCGGCGGAATGCTGCCTGTTTTCCTCAACGACCAGAGCGATCTGGTGGAGGTGATGCTGGAGCTGGACGAGGAGTCGATGGTGGTGCGGAGTGTCACGCCGACCTCCGCTGCCGCTGCTGCCGCGGCGGCGGCGGCTGCGGGGCGGGAGTCGTCCGCCAGCCTGAGCCGGAGCTCGTCGACGGCGTCGCGGATCCGGCGCAAGTTCTCGTGGCTGCTGTCGCCGACACCGCGGCGGACGCTGGCGGAGATGCTGGCTGCCGAGGAGTCGGCTTCGGCCTCGGGGTCCGGCCCGCTCCCGGCCCCCGCGACCGCCATGTCGTCGCGCGACGCCCGACGGATCCGTGCGCGGCTGGAGCGAACGCGGTCCGGGGCGCAGCGGGCCCTTAAGGGGCTCCGCTTCATCAGCCGGACGACGACGGCCACGGCGAACTTGGCCGAGCTCTGGGGCCGGGTGGAGGACCGTTTCGCCGTGCTTGCCAAGGATGGCTTGCTCTCCCGTGAGGACTTCGGCGAATGCATCGGTCCGTCCCTCTCTCTTTCACACACCCTCTTCTCGTCCCATGTATTCGAATCAGGATCGAATAACCCCCAGATAGATGACAGATAACCGCTCTGGTTTCATCTCGATCTCACCTCCTCGCAGGAATGGTGGATTCGAAGGAGTTCGCGGTGGGCATATTCGACGCCCTGGCGAGAAGGCGGCGCCAAAACTTGGAGAGGATAACCAAAGAAGAGCTCTACGATTTCTGGGTCCAAATTTCCGATCAAAGCTTCGACGCCCGCCTCCAAATCTTCTTCGACATGTACGCAATTACCAGAGTGCCCTAAATTCTCTCTTTACTTGTAGTTCTTGAAATTTCGATCATTGATAGAAGCCTTTTCCTTTCTACTTCCTGCGATTGTCCTGCGATAGGGTGGATACCAATGTGGATGGGAGGATAACGAGGCAGGAAGTACAGGAGGTGAGCTCACCCTGGCCTGTTCAATTACCGGTGTTGATTTTGGAGGTGTCAGTATGTTTACTTTCCATTTTGCTGGGGCACAGTTGATAATTCTGAGTTGTTCGGCCAACAAGCTGGCCAAGCTCAAAGAGCAGGCAGAGGAGTATGCGGCGCTCATCATGGAGGAGCTGGACCCCGAAAACCTTGGCTACATCGAGGTGAACACGACCGCTGTATTTTCTTGTTTAACTACGTGTCCAGCGCATGGCAGATGAAGCCTGCTCACTGCGGTCTGTTGCTCTGTTTTGGTTGACAGCTGTGGCAGCTGGAGGCGCTGCTGCTGCAGCGGGACACCTACATGAACTACAGCCGGCCGCTGAGCACGGCGAGCGCCGCGGCGTGGAGCCAGACCATCCCCGGCGGCGCGCCGAAGCCCCCGCGCCGCCCCTGGTTCAGCCCCCGGCGCGCCGCCACGAGGCTGCGGCTGGCGGCTCGGGAGAACTGGCAGCGGGCGTGGGTGGTGGCACTGTGGGTAGCCGCCATGGCGGGCCTGTTCGCCTGGAAGTTCACGCAGTACCGGCAGCGGACAGCGTTCCGGGTGATGGGCTACTGCCTCCCCACCGCCAAGGGCGCTGCCGAGACGCTCAAGCTCAACATGTCCCTCGTGCTACTTCCCGTCTGCCGGAACACCCTCACGTGGCTCCGCTCCACCCGCGCCCGACTCTTCGTCCCCTTCGACGACAACATCACCTTCCACAAGGTAGGTGGATCGAACGCTTTCACATTGTTTTGTCGCTGACGTTCCGATGCTTGACATCTTGCTTGCATGTTGCACCAAATTACATCGCGGTCAGTGAGTCCTCGGCCACTAGGCACTCTCTCCCTCGCCACTCGTTAATTACGTAGTGGGTGAGCTGTCTTCTTCTCGCGAAACTCGCACCTCTCTTATCGTGTTTGGTTTTGCGATGCCAACTGCAAGCTTCGTATTGGGCCTCCCATGGTAGCCGACGGTCCGCGTTGAGCGGATACGACGCACTGCCCAGTCCATCCTAAGTGGATCCCATGCGCTGCCCCTTCCAAGGCACCGGGGAAGGGCCTGCTGCAGCCTCCTCTTACTGCAGTGGGGAGTATACCTTGCCTCTGACGTGTCATGTTCCTCTTCGGCCAAGGTGTGTCAGCTGTTCTTAAGCAGACAGTGGATTGCTGTTGTCGTCGCTGGTGGGGGTCAGCCACGATCGACGTCACCAACCACCACAGTTTTTGTTCTTTTCGCCGAAGTTCATCGAAGATGGGTTTTTTCTTCGAACTCATATACCTTCCCAAAACTTAAAACACGGTTACTATTAATCTATAAGATGCTTCCAGGAGATGTATTCTTAAGTTTAAGCCACGTGGTTGACTCGTCCACATGCTGTGCTTATTTTATATGTACGTACGCAGGTTGATTAAAAGTTGTTAAGATTCTTTTACATTTATATGGTACCGAAAAGCAAAACTAAAGCATTGTTATACTCCCTAATCATTAAACTCGTTATTTGTTGATGTGTTGTTACAGATGATCGCGACGGCCATAGTGGTCGGGATACTGCTTCACGCCGGGAACCACCTGGCGTGCGACTTCCCGCGGCTGATCAACTCATCGCCGGCGCACTACGAGATGGTGGCGAGGTACTTCGGGCCAGAGAAGCCCACGTACAGGAGCCTGGTGGCCGGGGTGGAGGGGGTGACGGGGATCGCGATGGTGGCGCTGATGGCGGTGTCTTTCACCCTGGCGACTCACCGGTTCAGGAAGAACGGGGTGCGGCTGCCCTTCCCCCTGAACCGCCTCACCGGGTTCAACGCCTTCTGGTACTCCCACCACCTGCTCGCCGTCGTCTACCTCCTGCTGCTCATCCACGGCTACTTCGTGTTCCTCGTCCACAAGTGGTACCAACGAACGGTATGTGCCTCGGACTCTTTTTTTCTTTTTCTCAGTTCCATCGGCATTTGCCTGAAATATACACGACATATGGGACGCGATGCGACGGGGGCGAGATGAGAAGGGTATGTTCTCCGACTTACGTTGCGGCATGCTGCCGTAGCGCAAATCACGGCAAGAAACATGTGCGGCGTCGGAGCTTAACACTAGTGGTTATTTGTCTATCGCACCGCTCGGGCCCCAAGTCGGGGCACGACTCTGGACGCCGCATTTGGGTTCGTGATTGCATTCATCCGATCTTTTCTCAAGATCTGACATTTTAAACCAGATTCATGGTGTTCGTCAGGTCTAACTCGATCATATAGTAAATGGGTCTACGTGTTTCTAGTGGGGCCACCCCCTATAGAGTCTGGGCGAGTGATGAGTTGCTCAAACTCAAACTCGGACCTAGATGTGAGTCGCGGCCATTGTGGGGCCCCAACACTAGGAATATGGATCGCCTCCGAGGAGAAATCAGGTGGGCCGACATGGGTAGGTCTTGAAGAGGGTAGGAAAAGCGTCGCCTGAGTATGGGACGTCCACTCAAAGCACATGTGATCGATCGGGACAAGACACGGAATAACACCACTTTCACGTCCCCATCGATTACCGTATACAAGCACCGAATACTGGCGGGCCCCGGTGGCTGTGGAGCAGACCGGAAGCTTCCACTGTCCGGATCCTCTCCAACTTCTAAGAAGAATCCAGATCCTCCAATTCCCCCCATCTCAACCACCAATTCCTCCTACCTCACATCTGGATGGTTAAGATCTGAGATGGAGTTCGAGTCGTCATCGAGGGTGGTTGGACGGGATCCCGTTCCAAATTGCCCTCCTAATGTTAGTTTGACCCCGCCCTTCACCACACAGAATTAACTCGATTAGTATATCAATCGAGTCTAGATTTTAGATCTTGACCGATCTCATCGGACTGACCGGTGCAACAATGTCAAATTTGATAGGACACATTTGATAAACAGTCACATCAATTAAATTTATCTGTTCATATGTATTTACAATTTAGTACCAGATAAAGCAGGTCTAAAGTTGCTTCTTTTTTTTCTTTTTTACCCTGAGATTATGGGGGTGTGTGTGTGTGTGTGTGTGTGTGTCAGAGACAGAGAGTCTTGCTGATGGATTTGACAACATGGTCCACCATCAAACTTATAATTGATGATGGAATATGTTGTGCCTAGGTTGAAACAGCTGATGTAAGGAATGCTTTTTTATTTTTAGTTTAGCGTCATGGAGGCTTGGAATTTGGCCCAACACCTCACATGGAAGGATAAGTATAGCTTTCAATTAAATAATCTGCTTCGAAGGTTAGGTAGCGATCACAAATAAGTTGGCTTCAACCTGAAGTCATGTTGACAGCTTGTGTTGATTGACTTGGAACTTGCAATTGGTCATGGTATCATGCTATGTATTTAGGAAAGGAATCCAGATTGTTCCACTTGATATAATGTCGTCAAGAGTACTAGTTTAGTTCATATATGCCATGGTTGGTGATTGAAATATGCCCTAGGATTCGTTTGGTACGGAAGAAAATTGAACATAATGTCATATCCATCATGTTCAGGAGCCCATGAAGAATGCCGGTTATATCAGAATAATAGAAAGTTGCAATTAGTAAATGAAAATTTTGTATTCAGCGTTAAGAGCATAGTTAAGATAGATCACTAGTGTTGGTAAATAAACGAAAGTATTTTGGATTTATTATTTGATTATATATAAAATCAAGATGATCAGAGTGTAGATTTCATAAATTTTATGTGGTCATTGTTTGCCTTTCAGATCAAAAAATCAATTTTACAAGACAATTGTAGCTGGAATATTGTGACTTATTATTGTTATTAATTTGAACTTTAATCATTTTGAATGTACGGTTTCAATAGAGAAAACTTTTTGAGAAAAGGTTATCCATCATAGCCTTCATGACATTAGTGTATTATTATATTAATTGTTATACGCACCATCTTTGATGCAACTATACTACTTTATGCATGAGGAATTATTACTGCCAACTTGTGATTGAAAAGAAGCTTTCAGAAGCCTCCAATGTGTAAATTCTGATGAACATTAAATGGGTCCAGTTGAAACAGTGCAGACTTACTGGCCTAGAACACATTAATTTAAATTACATTGTCTTATTTATTCTGCTATATCATCGGGCAGTTCATGGTCCTGCATAGATTTAAGATTTCCGGATATGAACATGGACTTAGCGACATATGTAAGTGTGGAGTATTTATGAAGCTGGTAAGTGACAAAGTTATCTTCAACTGGTTTGGCTTTGATTGTCTTGTATTCTTTTTGTGTATTGCATGTTCTGCCCATTTGTTTCCCTTCGTTGATGGTCAACCAGAGGTCGGTCCGTCACATGTTGGGTTGTCCACCACCATTTCTTTTTGGGAATTCCATGTACTGCATACCCTACCACGATGTCGAGGGTGGCAACTCTTAATCAATCTTTTAGATGACTGCTTGGCCCACTGTATGATCAATACCATTGTGCTGAAACTTGATTCCGTGGACCAGGATGAGATTTATTGATGAATCAAAAGACTAATCTTTTCATAAGCAAATCTTAGAAAGCCTAACATGTATGGAACTAATAACTGAAGTTTAATTGTGTTCCCAATGTACTGAAGTCAGTGACAACACTAGCATAAAAGTTCGAGTTGTACCCATATCAGTTACACTTGTTTAGATACTGTACTACTAGTTAGATATATTGATTGATCTAATTAATCATTGTTTATGTGGTGCTGTGGACAGACATGGATGTACATCTCTGTTCCATTGCTGCTCTATTTGGGTGAGCGAAATCTGAGAGCCTTTCGGTCCAAAGGTTACTCTGTCAAGATTTTAAAGGTACAAGTTCCCTTCAGCTGTGCATTATTCAGTTTGTGCTCTGTATATGGTCATAATGTTTCTTAAAATTTTTATCCTTTTCCTTATAAATGTTGAACTATTTTGCCAACTTCACAAGCATAACAAAATGAACAATGTTTATACATTGGAGAAATCTGAGAAATACCATAAAAAACCATGTCATATATTATACAACTTGTTTTGTGGTGATCTCACATGCAACTGTAAATGAGAAACTCCAAATATTCTTATGGTCTTCTCTTTATCTATTTTTACAACTTGCTTATCCTGTAAAATGCAATAATGAAGCTTGATGCGATGATTTGATAGCTCCCTATTGATCAACAACAACTGCTCTGTGCAGGTTTCTTTGCTACCTGGTGGTGTGTTGACTGTGACAATGTCCAAGCCACAAGGATTTCGTTATAGAAGCGGACAGTACATATTTTTGCAATGCCCTACCATCTCCCCGTTTGAATGGTTCATACCGAAGCTATCGTTACTGATTCTTTTGTTAGCTGAGTTCATGTCATACAGAAACCTCAACATTGTGCTTTTCATTCCAACAGGCATCCTTTCTCCATTACATCAGCTCCTGGTGACGAATATCTTAGTGTCCACATTCGAACAAGTGGTGACTGGACCCAGGAGCTTAAACGCATATTTATAGAAAACTACTTCTCTCCACACTCAACAGGGAAAGCCACATTTAATGAATCGGGCTCTTTGGAACAGAAAAGGTGATTTAATTTATATACTACAGCAAAGAACTCTTTAAGGCTGTTCATAAGAAAAAGTGCTCATGCTTGAATTCAATTATTGTGCAGCTTGCCTAGATTGTTTGTGGATGGTCCTTATGGTGCCCCAGCACAAGACTTCCGGAATTATGATGTTCTACTGCTGGTGGGGCTTGGCATAGGGGCAACACCTTTTATAAGCATTCTTAGGGACCTACTCAACAACATTAAGTTAGCCGATGAACTCATGGTAAAGCAATAGTACATGCTTGCTTCACTGAGGTATCTGTATTTTTGGATTTTTGGATTTTTTCTCTTATTTAAGGCCTTTTATTTAGGAACTGGCAATGGAAACTAGTAGGTCTGAAGTTAGCAGTACCAGCTTCAGCATCTCTACCACCAGTAGCAGCACCAAGAAGAGATCATACAGAACAAGCAGTGCTCATTTCTACTGGGTCACAAGGGAAGCAGGATCCTTCGAGTGGTTCAAAGGAGTAATGAATGATGTGGCTGATATGGACAAGAAGGTTATCATTTGCCTATCTCTCTCTCTCTCTCTCCCCCCAATTTGTTGCATTCATTTGCATTGCTCATTCAAGATATTTTAAACAATGGAAGTAACAAAATGTTATTAACTTATTGGAACAGGGTATTATAGAGATGCATAATTACTTGACTAGTGTTTACGAGGAGCGTGATGCAAGGACCACTCTCCTCAAAATGGTGCAGGCTCTGAATCATGCTAAGCATGGAGTGGACATTGTCTCAGGCACTCGGGTAAGTATGCAGGAAACTTTCATCACAGCAGTGCACAGAAAAATATTTAATTGAGCAAGGAATTCTGAAAGATATTTAAGGAATTATAATGAACACTACTTGTTTCAGTCTGACAGTCACTACTTCTAGTTAAGCATCGAATTAAGTCGGAAACAATACTTAGTGGAGTACAGAGATGACACGATCATAGTAGATTTATTTGTGGGTGAAATTAGTTAGTATTGCATCTCTGCGATAATTTCTGTTTCATCAAACTTGATGATGATTGCAATTGTTGCCTTGTCAGGTGAGAACTCATTTTGCAAGACCAAATTGGAAAGAAGTATTCACCAAGTTAGCTTCCAAGCATCCCGGCGCGACAGTAGGTAATAACTTCACATACAAAAACTTTTTACCTTGTTCATGAGACTCTAATAACAAATTTAGTCTCTGTCATTCAGAGTAATGTGTTCATCAATTTTCCCACTTAGCATTCATCTACTGGTTGATGTAGGCGTATTCTACTGTGGAACACCAACACTGGCAAAAGAGCTGAGGAAATTATCGCATGAGATGAGCCACCGGACGTCAACACGCTTCCATTTCCACAAAGAGTACTTCTGATCACTGCATACGGTATAGCAATGGAATCAAAATTTTTGATATACAGTTCACAGAAGCCAATTACTATAATCCTCTTATAAGTGTATATAACCTGCATAATCAATCTACACAAGCAAATAGTCAACAGAGCACAAGTTGAGGAAGATAGAGATGGAAGCTATCTCCACTCATCGTTATTCATAATTTCATGTGTACAGTCTTAATAATTGCATTAATTAGCATATGTTACTTTTTTTTTTTCTTCTTCCAGTTAAATTGAAGTTTATATGTGAGAGACTCTTAATATCATTAGGAGTCCTCTTAGATTTTTATTAAGGCATCATCCTTGTATACGACCTATATTTTTTTCCTCTGGTATCTTGTCTAATGAATTATGGAAAACTATCATATTCCAAATTATTTATTTCCTAAAACTTAGATTCAAATTGTTGTGTAAAAGAAGGCATCAAAGACAGGTTTTCTTGATCACTTTGTGTGGAATTCAATTTATTTCATGAGTAAAGAAAAGCAAAAAGGCTGGTCACACATCAGATGAGTTAAATCATGACACTTTGATGCCTTGTCCTGCTTTATTGTTGCTTGGCTTTCTTTAGAGCTTAAAGCCCAAAAGATGCTTCCTTTCAGTTGAAGCCATAAGGAATAATGTGTGTGGTGGCACTAACTGGTCCCAAAAGATGCTTCTTATCAGTACTTTTACTTGACATGAATGATGAGCAAAGATATCAATTTTTATCAGTGGTTTCTTTACAAGGAGAGGTTGTATGTTCTCATGGCTGGCATGAATGAAAGAGGAATGGTGACTGACATATGTCGGCTTTAATCATTCCCCATATCATAAAGAGACTTTTATCGAGGTTGTATTATTTTCACGGCTGACATAACAATAAAGAATTAGAAGTTAGCTCAATATGAGAGAGAGAGAGAGAGAGATCCTATGAATAGTTTTGCATTGTCAAAGATTAAAAGAGTCAAGTGATGACTCATATAACTTCCTAACCAATTTTAAAATCTCAACATGGCATCAGAATAAAGGATTTTAAGAGAATGGGCAAATCAAAAAAAAGAAGAAGAAGAAGAAGAGCAAGAGCTATGGTAGGCCCACACACATGAATTGGCAAGATATTAAAATTTTTTCATGTGTGAAAAATATTTAAAAAAATACTTAAATAGTTCTAAAAAAATAAAGTTAGGTTGACATGTATTAGGATTGACCCAAACTTTACATGATCAATTAACCTAATATACATATACATACATATATACAAATACATATACATATATATATATATATATATATATATATATATATATATAGAGAGAGAGAGAGAGAGAGAGAGAGAG